CATCACAGACCTTTGCATATCGATAACCACCATACCCACGATAATGGGCATATACTTGTTTAACTCTAGGGAGATCAGCCTCGGTGCCTGTTTAGCCCAGCTCTTCTTCATCCACTCGCTTCAGTGCATTGAATCCTGTTTGCTGTTGTTCATGGCCTTTGACCGCTTCATTGCAATTTATAACCCTCTGAGATATGCTTCCATCTTAACCCTGCCGAGAATAACCAAGATGGGACTGGTGGCTGTGGTAAGAGCGATGGTCATAATACTTCCACTTCCCTTTCTCCTGAACCGGTTCCAATACTGTCGAGTCAATGTCCTCTCCCATTCCTTCTGCATGCACCGGGAGGTCATGAACATGGCTTGTTCGGATATCACAGTCAGCATCATCTATGGTTTGTTTACTAAACTCTTAACAATGGGGTTGGATTCACTACTCATCTTCCTCTCTTATGTGATGATCCTCAGAACAGTGCTGCGCATCACCACCTACAAGGAGTGCCTGAGGGCCCTGAACACCTGCGTCTGCCACCTCTGCACCCTGCTGCTCTTCTACACACCAGAGATCAGCTTGACTGTGATACACAGCTTTGGGAAGGACTCTTATCCCTTACTTCTGATTCTCCTCGGATACATCTCCCTGTTTCTCCCACCAATGATGAACCCAATTGTGTACAGCGTGAAAATCAAACATCTTCGTGTGAAGATAATCAGGGTATTCATGAAGTGAGGGGTCAGTTCATCACCTGGGTCCAGTGACATGGGAGATGTAAATCATGGGCCACCTCTTCTATACTGGACCGCTACATCCAAGATCACATGAGTTATTGATCTCTACTATAAAGAGGGGATCAGATGGGGTTTAAGACTAGTGAGGGGGGACAGGAATGGTGATGGAGGACTGGGCAGCGGGGGAGTGAGACCAAGGCAGGCAGCAGCATTTACAGAGTGACTTTTTGTGGAGAGCCAGGGGATCGGTTGGATGTTGGACGAAAAACGGTCGTATTAGTGGCCGCTCCGACCTCACAATTCATGTTGATAATCAATAAAGAGAAGGGATGTGGATGCTGTTTCCCATTAGACCTGGCCTGTCACTATCCCTTCTCTGGCTATACATCCAAAGTCTATTCAAGGGGCACTGTCACTCACTCTTCCCATTCACACTCAGCCAAATGCTTGTGTCTGAGTGGTGTCAGGGACATAACTAACACAGGAGAGCCAGGCGAAGCCTTTCAGGCAACACCCCCATTAATGGCGTTGTGCACACCACACCTGCTCAGTCCACTCCCCACTGAGGCAGGGCAGAGCTGCACGTGTGAGTAATGGTCTGACACTCAGGAATCGTGGTAAGAGACTCAGGCCTTGGTTCCCTCCCCGTCCGCTCCATTTGTGCTGCCCCAGCAATGCAAAACAGATTAAACTGGCCTCAGCTCAGGCCCAGCTAGCTCCTATCCCAGCCCAGCCCATTCAGTGTAGGGTGACCACCTTTTCAAAAGGCAAAAGCGGGACACAGGCCGGGAGTCTGGTCCCTTCGGTGACCCCGCCCCTGCTCCTCTTCTTCCCCCTGGAGGCACCACTCTCTGCTCCTCCTCCTCCACTGAGGCTCCACCCCCTGTCCAGGCCAGAAGCCAGAGCCAGGCCATAGAAAGAGCTGATCCGGGAGCCAGAGCCTCTGTGAGGAGCCCCAGATCTTCCCCCACCCCTGGGCAAGGGACTGGGGGGGACAAGAGAATGCCCCAGCCTATGTCCCTGCCCCTCAGGACGCATCCCCGGAGCAAGTGGAGAGTCTGGGAATCCCCACAGCAGCCTGGGCTCCCAGGGTAGCTGTAACCGTACTTTTGTGGGTCACAACTGAAAATATCAAATTCAGGACAAACTGCTGAGAAATAGGGGAGAGAGACCCCCCAAAGTCATGGTTCTTCTCCTGTGAGATATACCAAGGATGACCACAGTGAGTGGGGTGAGGTGAGGGAGAAGAGGGGGCACGGTAAAGGAACTTTTTGTTGTAGAACTCAAGCATATGAGGTAGAAAACACTGCCCCACATGCACTGTTCTGCTCACAATTTTATGTTTATGAACCCTGCTTGTGGCATTTTCCCTAATTAATATCGGATGACTTCCCTCCTTTAATTAAAAGTTACTTTCCTACACTCAGAGTTTGTGCTTGCAGGTGGAGAAGTATTGCCTTTCAGGGGCACCAAGGGGTGGGGTGTAATTTTCCCAGTTTACTGGATGGGGGCTCGAGCTGCTTCTCTGTTGTACTGTTGAAAAGGAACCCCTAGAGATTGAAGGCGGCCCTGGTTGCTGCTGCCTCCACCTGGCAGAAGGATGACATCTGCCAAGCTCCATTGTAAAACCAACTGGGTTGTTTGCTCAACACTGCTCCTGTTGGGAAGCTGTTCCTGAACATCCCTCCTCAGATGGTCAGAAACCTCCTTCTCCTTTCCGGCCTCAGTTTGCTCCCAGTCAATTTGTCCCCATTTGTTCTTGGCCAACACCGTATTTTAGCTTCAGGAGCTCATCTCCCTCCCTGGCGTTTACTCTCCTGATATATTTATAGTGAAATTGAATCCCCACTCAGCCTGCCTTGTCTTATGCTAAACCTGCCAAGCTCTTCCAGTCTTCTCCTAAACCAGGCCCTCCATTGCCCTGACCATGCTCTGCAATTCCAGCCCGAATTCTTCTTTCTGGAATAGGAGTGACCAGAATTTTACACAGTTTGCCAGAGTAGGTCCCATCAGTGTCTGACATAAGGATATTAATACTTCACTTTGTCCTTGACACATTCTAGGATCTCATGTGCCTTGTTCACAGCCGCATCACATCGATGTCTCACAGTCGTCATTGGACTGACTAACGCACCCAGGTCTTTCCCCTCCTTTGCTGTTAACAACTTACCCATGGTATATAAATAGGAGTGTAATGAATAGAAGTAGGGAAGATTGAAAGCTGAATTGATGACAGTGTACAAGCACTTTCACTGGGATCAAATAGCAGCTATTAACAGGTTCTTTTATCTAGAAGGGAAAAGTATAACAAGAACCAATGGCTGGTAACTGAAGCCAGAAAAAATACATTTGGAAATGAGGCACCCATTCTTCATAGCAAGGGTGCTTAACCAGTCGAACAAACTCCCAAGGGAGGTGGTGGATTCTCCAGTCATCCCCATATGAAGACTGAATGCCTTCCTGGAAGATCTGTTTTAGATTAATACAAGAGATGGTTTAGTCAAACACAAGTCATTGTGCTCAATATGGAGGTAACTGAGTGAAATTATGCAGGACGTCAGACGAGATGATCTTATAATTCCATCTGCCCATAAATTCTATGAATCTATGAATCATTTTCTTGAGTGTGTTAGGATATAGATATTGAAGCCTGTTTGCAAAGGCCTATGCTTTAAGAATTTAGCTAGTTACAAAGGTATAATAGAAAGAATTAAAATCACTGTCTGCTGGTATAACGGCCTTTTCTCACTGTGACAGTCTAAGGCCTTGTTCTAAGGCTAAGGCCTTCGGCTAAGCAGCAGAGGCAGCCATAAACTGAAAAGTGTATGGTCACATCCTTACATTTCAAACTAGTCACATGGAAATAAGGTGCTATTGGGCTGTTAGGAACACAATCCTGTCCTAATATTTTTATCACCTCCAGAGAAATGGAAGAGCCTAGAAGATGTAAAAGGAAACTTAGTTTGATAGCATCTTGTCTAGCAAGAACTCACTTATCAATAGCTGGGATGTAAAATCCTCATTTCTGTATTGTTCTATCACTGTAGTCTCTACTTCCCTATTGTTTGTCTGTATAATCTCTGTCTAATTCTGTGATTGATTCTGTCTGCTGTATAATTAATTTTGTTGGGTGTAAACCAATTAAGGTGATTGTATATAATTGGTTAAATAATCATGTTACAATACGTTAAGATTGGTTAGTTAAATTTCAGTAAAATGATTGGTTAAGGTATAGCTAAGCAAAACTCAAGTTTTACTATATAGTCTGCAGTCAATCAGACTGTCACAATAAAATTCTGATATATGGTTTCTTTACCCTCTAAACTGGATCTTTGCCTGTCATGACAGGTGAAGAGAAAGTAATTAGGGAATTGTTATTTACTCTTTCTCATAACACAAAAACTCGGGGTCATAAAAATAAATTAATAGGCAGCAAGTTTAAAAACAACATATTTCTTCACACAACACACAGTCAACCTGTGGAACTCCTTTCCAAAGGATGTTGTGACTTCCAAGACTTTAAAATGGTTCAAAAAAGAACAAGTTAGGAGGATTAATGGAGGATAGGTCCATCAATGGCTATTAGCCAGGATGGTCAGGGACGGTGTCCCTAGCCTCTGTTTGCCAGAAGTTGGGAATGGGTAACAGGGGATGGATCACTTGATAATTGTCTATTCTTTCCATTCCTTCTGGGGCATCTGGCATTGGCCATTGTCAGAAGACAAGATACTTGGCTAGATGTAATATCAGTCTCACCCACTGATGCATCCAATGAAGTGGGCATTCACCCACGAAAGCTTATGCTGCAATACACCTGTTAGTCTTAAAGGTGCCACAGGACTATCTGTTGCTTTTTACAGATCCAGACTAACACGGCTTCCCCTCTGATACAGTCTCACCCAGTATTGCCATTCTTATATTCTTAATTATCCCACTCTTAGAGTTTGGAACAACACCCCATCTCTGCTAAATGCTCATCACCAAGCAGATCCGACTCAGTCTCTTCCATTTGGGTACTCATGACCAGAGTTATAAACTCACCCGCAGCCTCCTTAAAACAAGTAGGTTTAGGAGTAAGGAGCACAAAGCTTTAAGAAATTGGTTTTAAAATAGCAGACAGCTGTCACACATCTACAATATCACTGAAAGCTAAGGTAGACAGGCTTTGCTCTGGAGATAGAGAAACAAAACCGGCCCAACTTAAATTCTTTCAAGAAGCCAAGGAACTCTTGGGACCCAGCTTAGTTTCCTTATGTCTCTGACAGCATCTTCCCATCTGTTAGCCCCTTTCCTGTGGAAACAGCCTTTGCTGAAACCTGTGTGAGGTTGGCCAAGTCACCATTGTGCTCAGCCGTCTCCATGTTACAGGGCCAAGGCGTGAAGCTGACCTCTGCCCTCAGACTGCTGTAACTGGTGCTCCTTTCTCCTCAGTTAAATCCATTCAGACTGTGTAGCTTGCACACACTGGTCCGCTGACTGTGCTGAACCAGTTGGAATCCCTGTGATGCTCCAATACTCCCCTCACTGTCAAGCCTGAGCACCCCACATTTGCCATGAAAACCAAGGGGCTGGACTCATGGGGCATGCCAGAATCCAGTTTTTACCGGAGGCTCTGGTGAGAACCTTTTGTAGAGAAATGTCAGAGGTGTTGTTCGTGAAACCCTGAAACAGCCCCGATCTTAGAGACTCAGAGTATCTGAGTACCTTGAATGTATTTATCCTCTCTGCGAGGCAGGGCTGGGGTACTATCCACCTGAGTAGAGGCTCAGAGACAACCAATGGCTTGCCCATGGTCACAGACGACAAGGGAATTAAACGTGCCTGTCCTGAGTCACAGAGCAGTGCCTAGACCACAGCACCAGGCTTCCAGCCATCTGAGTGGTGACAGGCCTGGATGGAATCTCTGCTGCACCTGCAGAGCTCCCCCTCCCGGCCATGCTGTACAGAGCAGGGATGGCAAGGAGCCAGTTACAGAGGTCTGATTCTCTGGCCTGTTCTCCC